GGTGGAAGAAAGAGGGTGATTCAAGGGGATGCAGGGCTGACCAAGGCAGGGGTTTCTCTTAAATCCCTCATCAAAATAATTCAGGAGGAGGGGGAAGGCTACTTGGTGGAATTACACAGATTAGAGGGAGTGAGTGTGGAGGAAGGGGGAGACATACCCCTCTCGGTGCAGCCTTTGATCCAGGAGTTCTTGGAGATTTTTCAACCCCCTCTAGGGTTGCCACCACCCAGGGAGCAAGAGCATGCCATCATATTAAAAGAGGGAGTGTCACCTGTCAGCGTACGACCTTACCGTTACCCTCAGTTTCGGAAGGATGAAATAGAAAAGTTGATCAGAGAAATGTTAGAAGCAGGGATTATCAGGCCCAACACTAGTCCATTCTCTAGTCCTGTTCTATTGGTAAAGAAAAAAGATGACAACTGGCGTTTCTGTGTAGACTATCACGCACTCAACAAGGAAATCGTACCTGATAAGTTTCCCATACCAGTGATTGATGAGCTTCTGGATGAGTTGAGTGGAACGGTGATTTTCAGCAAGATCGACTTGAAATCAAGATATCACCAGATACGAATGAAGAAAGAAGATGTGTCCAAGACCGCCTTTAGAACTCATGAGGGCCACTATGAGTTCCTAGTGGTGCCCTTTAGCCTCACCAATGCCCCAGCCATGTTCCAGGCACTCATGAATAAGATCTTCAAACAGTATCTCAGGCGATTTGTGTTGGTATTCTTCGATGACATCTTAGTATATAGCAGAACAGAGGAGGAGCATTGGGGACACTTAAAGAAGGTGTTAGAGGTTCTCTAGGAGCACCAGTTGAGGGCTAACTTGAAGAAGTTCTGCTTCGCACAAGCTAGTGTGGAATACTTGGGGCATATGGTATCCAAGGAAGGGGTAGCAGCAGATCAGTCCAAGATTGAGGCCATGCTTAAGTGGCCACTGCCCAAGAATCTAAGGAGCTGAGGGGATTCCTAGGGCTTACAGAGGGTACTACAGAAGATTTGTGAAGGGATACATCACTATAGCTTGACCACTCACTGAGCAGTTGAAGAAAGATGGATTCTTATGGGGGGAGGCAGCTACGACAACATTCGAGCAGTTGAAGAAAGCTATGACCACTATTCCGGTCTTAGCTTTACCGGATTTTACTCAGGCCTTTATAGTAGAGACAAATGCATCGGGATACGGGCTAGGAGCAATGCTGATGCAGAGTCACAAGTTCATTGCATATTTCAGTCAGGTGTTGACTGTCAGAGCCCGGCTAAAATTTGTCTATGAGAGGGAGTTGATGGCAATTGTTTTGGCCATCCAAAGTGACGTCCCTACTTACTTGGAAGACATTTCATCGTCCGGACCGACCAAAGGAGCCTGAAATATTTGCTGGAGCAGCGCATGGTGACAGAGGAGCATCAGAGGTGGCTATCTAAACTGCTCGGATATGATTTTGAGATCCAGTGCAGGCCAGGGGTAGAAATAAGGCAGCAGATGCCTTGTCCAGGTGCATGGGGGAGCTGCAGACAGTGGCTGTATCGGCCCCAATGATGCTAGATTGGGAAGCCATAAAGGAGGAGAGTGCCAAGGACGAGGAACTAAGCAAGATCAGAGCTGATTTACTGAAGGAAGAGGGAGGCCATCCAGGGTACTCGTTGGAGGGGGAGAGATTGTTGTACCAGGGAACATTTGTGTTACCCAGAACGTCAGTACACATCCCACAATTGCATCAGGAGTTCCATGGATATGCAGTGGGAGGTCATTCAGGAGTGCTAAAGACCTACAGGAGACTAGCGGCAGAGCTGTGCTGGAAAGGTATGCATAGGGATGTGGAAGAGGTGGTATCCAGATGCGAGGTGTGCCAAAGGAATAAGTATCTAGCTATGTCACCAGGGGGGCTACTGCAGCCATTGGCGTTACCAGGACGAGTCTGGGAGGAGATATTTATGGATTTCATTGATGGGCTACCCCGCTCTAAGGGATTCACTGTAATTTTGGTGGTAGTGGATAGATTGAGCAAATATGCTCATTTTATTCCTCTACGCCATCCATACACTGCGGTGACAGTAGCGTCAGTCTTCATCAGGGAGATAGTCAGACTACACGGAGTACCTGAGGCGATAGTATCATACAAGGATAAAGTGTTCCTCAGCCATTTCTGGAAAGAATTGTTCAGACTACAGGGGATGGTGCTAAAAAGGAGTACGGCTTACCACCCCACAGACGGATGGTCAAACAGAAGTGGTCAATCGGAGCTTGGAAACTTATCTGAGATGCTTCACATCAGAGACACCCAAGCTATGGGCTAAATGGCTATCATGGGCCGAGTATTGGTACAACACCTCTTTTCATCCAGGCTCTCAGATGACCCCATTTAAGGTGTTGTACGGAAGGGATCCGCCCCACTTGGTGCATTTCAGTTGTAGCAGCACATCCGTTTCTTCAGTACAGGAGTATTTGGAGGAGAGGGATAAGACACTGGAAGAGTTAAAAAGACATCTGTTGAGGGCTCAACAGATTATGAAGAAACAAACTGATGGGCATCAGAAGGATATTCAGTTTGAGGTGGGTGAGAAAGTATTTTTGAAACTCCGTCTATATCGACAGAAAATGATCGCCAACCAGAGAAATGAGAAGCTTGCTCCAAGGTATTTCGGTCCTTATGAAGTACTGGAGAAAATTGGAGCTGTGGCATATCGTCTGAAGCTACCACCGACAGCGACGATCCATCATGTTTTCCATGTATCCCAGCTAAGGAGAGCCATAGGAGATTATGCGACCAGTTCTGAGTTACCAGGAACATTAACAGATGAAATGGAAATGATATTGGAACCTTTGGAGTTATGGAGGTTCGTCAGAAAGCAGATGGAGCTACAGAAATCCCGATCAAATGGAAGAACCTCCCTGACTACGAGGCCACGTGGGAGCCATACGAGCGGATGAAATGATAGTTTCCTGACTTTCACCTTGAGGACAAGGTGGTTCTTTGTGAGGGCGGTAATGTTAGACTGGTCCACCCCAGCCCCTTGGGCCGGCTCGGTTCGTGTACAGCAGAAGGAAGCCGGCGGAAGCCAGGGGGGAGAATAGGTGGGGTCCACTTGAATTTCAAATTTAATCTTGGAGCCAAAAGGAGGGGAAGCAAGGGTAATTAGGTCCGTTTGTATCTATTTTGAATTGTATGCATTAAATAGGGAGAAGAGGCTAGGGTTAGGGTTATGTGAAATTTGCTTTGGAGTTTTCTTGTTCCTCTTTGGTGGCTAGGGCTCTAGATCGAATTCTAGAGATTGGGAGAGTGCGATCCTCCTCTCGAATAGAGGATCCTTGTATCTTTGCTATTTTCCTTGCATTTACTAGTAAAATACAAGTCTTTTCTCCAAATCTCTCTCAGTTTTTCTCTGTTTTTCTACTGTTTTGTCTGTTTTCCTGCTGTGGACAGCAGTGTGCACTGAGAATTGTTGTAAAAGTGAATAGGAAATACTTGAAGTATTTCCTATCATCACACTCGTTGATTGCAATTTGAGCTTGATTCAAGGCAAAAGTTGATTTGATTTTTTGATTGACTTTTAATCTATTTTCAAATTTTTAATAAATTTTTTTGTTGTTGGTTTATTTACATCTCTGTTTTAACAACGCCCATTTCATTACCCTATTCAAGTCTTAAACATTCTCCAAGTCCTTGTGCTAATAAACATGTTATTTGAGTTACTTGATACGGGCCTCATTTGGTAGTGCTTTTCATATGCTTTGCTATTAAACAACTTTTTCCCCTGGAAAAAAATGGGTTAGATTGCATATATTGCATGCATAAATGTGGTAAACACAGTTGCGGTGAATTTTATTCATCCTTATTCCTTACAAAAAGTAGCACTGGCTTTCTTTTGAAACAAACAACTCAGCACTATATTAGCATATAAAAAACACAATGCAACAATTAACTAACATTTTTACTTCTACATGCCATTATATTATATGCTTGAAACTTTTGTGTGTTGCATATAAAGTGTTTCTTGGTAACCTTGCACATACTAATGTTGTCGCCTTTCTTATGTATATAAATTAGATGTCTTAGTTATATGTTGTTGTGAAAATGTTGTCTCCCTTCCTAGCTGCCATTAAAGTATTTAGTTGTGTTTTAATAAAAAATTTAACTTTAATCCAAAACCAATTCAAAACCATTGAAAATGATCATTTCGGTTTACATCTATTCAAAACTGGCTGATTGTTTTGGTCTGAAATTGTCAAAATTAAACCAAACCTTCCAAAGTCACCAAAACACTCGAAATAGTTGAGACCACCAGACAAATCCCTTAAAATTTGGTTGAAATCGGTAAAAAGGAATCATAACTATCAAAACTCAAGAGAAAACACATTAAAAAAAAAACGTATTTATGATTTTAAAATGTATCAAAATAATAAAAATTGAAAAGCTAGCTTAAAGAATCTTTAAAATATATTAAAAAAAGGCCAAAACTCAACATTGAAATTATTGAAACCATTAAAACTAAAAATTTTGTGATGGATGCCAATTTTAAAATGAAACCATATTTACAAATAAGAATTGTAATGAAATTATTTGTGGAAAATTTTCAAATCTTTATGTTCTACTATTGATCTTGTTTTTGGTGCAGCATCGAGGTGAAAGACGTGGGCTTGGCGGGATTTTTTTTGATGACCTTAATGACTATGATCAGGAAATGCTTCTTGCCTTTGCTACAGGTACATGCCTATATTCTTTGCATGTTTCTTCATCAAATCATAGTATTAAATGCTATAACCCTTTCTTCTCCTTTTTTGGGGCTCTGATATCTACCCTTCAATTGCAATAGTGCTAAATTTAATTTGCACGACGTGAAGATGAGAGCTTCATTAGTTCGTTTAATTATTTAAAAATGTACCAGAGAATGAGGGATATCAGGCAATGCTTCTCCGAGAAGTCCATGTGAAGACTTGGTTTTACTATTTCACAAATCAAAATCTATAAACATGATGTAACATCATAAATCACCACTTGTCTTTATTCTAGATAATTCTTCCCACGGGAATAAACTGGATATTATGATGCCATTTTTTCTATCGTTTTGAAAATCAAAGAATTTTTAAAAAAATTTAAGAAATGGTTTTATCATTTTAATGATATTAAAGAGGATGAATGGTCGTGATCTTGCATAGTGTTGGAGCACTTTTCTTTCTATTCATCTGACTACTTATCAAATTTTTATTTGAACATTTTGATTTATAAAGTATTAAGTAGAGATATCCGCAATGTATTCACGTCCTTCCTGTTTTTCCTATTAATTCCTTTGTTTGATATTCTTGCAACTCTTCTCATTGAACTTGCATTTGATAGCTGATCAAGCTTGAAGTCCTCCTACAGTCTAATCTTCTCAATGAATTTTCATTTGATAGTCTGCGTTTGATTATGTTTCCTTACCATCTGGCTTTGAATATGCTTTAATGCCATCCTCTGCTCCTCCTATGCCAACATCTCTTGCAATTCCATCTTTCCAATGCCATCTGATGCATCTTGGAAGTAAAAACATCAAGTAGGCAATAAGAAAAATGTAGGAATTTAAAGATTAGGGCTGAAATTTGATTATCTCTTCAACAAAAAAGAAATATACAATTGATCTACTATTCGAGAGGTAGATCAACTCTCCTCGAACCCTAGACGCCGCAAGGAAACTCTCCAAAATAAAACTACGACAAACACAAATTATCTCATGTCCTAATCTTAGACAAAACTTTCTTTTAAATAGCCTAGCATACAATAACACAAATAGAATCTTCCTAAACAGCATAAACTTGATTTAGGAAACCTTTCTAAATAATTAAAACCTTCCTAAACACAATAAAAATAATTAAGAAACCTTCCTAAACAGCTCCCCTTGATTTCTCCTCCTTGCATAATGCACGACAGCTCTCCTAGGCCACATAGGGCTGGCCCAACTCCACCATTAGCTCCCTTCTTGATTTCGCCTTGCCCCTCCTGCCGTAACACCATCCTATTCCCAACGCCTTCATATCTCATAGCCGACCAAGCTGATAGTCGTTTGTAGATGTCAGTTTGTTGATGCTCCCTCTTCAATAAGCTTTTGAGCATGCTTTGGCTCCATTCTGCAGTGTTCCAACGAGCACATCAACGAAGTCTTCTAGCACAATCTATCTCGTTTCAGTTTAATAATTATGATTCAGTATTTCACATCCGGTATAGCACATTTGTTACAAATGTTAATGTTTTGAGTGATGTTCTACTCCAGCACAATCAATCTTGCTTCAGCTTTTTCCCCAATTGTGCATTCAGTATTGCACATTCAATATTTGGTTTTGGGTACGATTGGTATTTACAAATTACAATTGGCTTACCTTTACTCTGAATTTCTCTGCATCTCATCTCCCTTGATCTTGCTCTGCCTAAGCTTTGTGCTTATCTTGCTTAAAAGTAAATTTAATTTTATTTATTTTGATAATAAATTCATTCTTGGGCAACTCTATTCATGCGGGACAGCCAACTTGATGAGGAAGGGTCTACAATGCTTCAATTCAATTTAATAATTCTTCAATTATAACTTATATCATACAAGACTATATACTCCATATAAACTAAAAGATTTTAATATATAGGTAAAATATTTGAAATTATTAAAGATAGACGTAATATTTCCTTGTTAAATAACCATAAAAGTGAAAAATATTTAAAATTATGCTTAAAAATATTTTGATATAGACACAAGAAGATGATCTGCTTAAAGAAGAATCAATGATTGTTAGGTTTTTGCATCAGTTCGCTCATGTTAAAAGGAAATTTTTTTTATCAAAGATGTTGAAGGTTATTGTTGTAGTGAAGTGATATTGTGTCAAGTTTGTGACTTAAAACTGAACTCAAAGTCAACTCAAAATTGAAATTATTGAGTTGAATAGACCCGAAATGATATGGTTTGAGTTGACTTGAATTTTTTTTTAATTAAGAATGCGGCAATATCAACAACATCAAGCCTTTATCCCACTAAGTGGGGTCGGGTATATGAATCTTTTTTCTCGATTGTGGTTTGTTAAGTGTCAAATTCTTATTTAAATTGAATAAATAAAAGTCATTTCTAATATTTTCTAACCAGGTCTTTTTAGGTCATGCACATAAATATAAATATAATATTTTGTATAAATGTTTATTTTGAGTTGACTCGATTTATATTTTGAACGATTTGGAGCAAAGTAATAATCAAATAGAAATTTAGTTGAAATTCTGATGTCAATTTCAATTCGAGTCAACTTTCAAATGATTTTCTTGGGAGTTTCTACTTTTTTTGGTTGTCTTGACTATAACTTTTGAAAGGAGGTGCTTTGGATTTTGATGTCATCATACATTATGCCACTATATATAATTAACAATCTAAACGTGGTTTACTTGAAAGTATGCTGGTGATAACAATGGCAGAACAAATATATAATATGCAACTAAGGCTGGAGCGAGTAACAATGTAGGAGATACTGGAGCAAACCATATCTCCGTGTCAAGCTGTCGATGGATAACCATAGTGATTGAATCCACCTTAAATTTGAGCACAACAACATCCTATATGTCTAGCTTAAAGATGTGACAGAATCATAATAGCGTATGAGTAAACAGCAAATTTAATGTTTTTTGGTTCATGCTCAAGTTTGGGGCATTGGCTCAATAAATAACTAGATTTAAGCTTGGGTAGTTGAATTAGTTCAACTTTAAGTACATAATCAAGCTCAAGTTCAACTACATCTTCACACTCAAGGTCAGTTGATGAAGATATATCATCATTCTTAACAATATGGGTTTATGGGGCTTGTGAAGGAGGACAAAATGGGGCCATGTTGGTGGAGATTGTGTTGCTAAAGAGGTTAATGGAGTTTTTGAAGAGAATGGCAATTTTCTAAATTGTAACATCAAGCTGGTTCGTTTAAGTATTGAGCTTATCGACAAGAGTTGTTAATTAATTGAATATTTGCTAAAATATGGGATTTTACGGGTTCTAGTAAAAGATTTGTTAAGTTATTAGGTTGTCATATGCGTGGTCATTTTAGTCCCAAACAATTTAACTTATATAATTTAGTCCCTTGACTCCTCAAATATAATCCCAATTAGTCCTGCTAAAATTGCTATGTAGTTTTACAGAACTTGCACGCTTAAATGTGGAGAGTCGACTATTGTGATGATTTTGCATTGGAGACCATATGAACATGTGTGCTCGAACTTGAGTAAGCTAAAGAGAAGGTGATTGGTTCTGGTATAAGTTCTTTATACCATTTTGCTCGAAATTTCGAGACGAATCTAACGAAATTTATTTCGTCGAATTCCGACGACGTCGAAATTTCACTTAAGTTCGTCGCGGCGCATCGAGATGCGTGCGACGCACTCAAATGACGTATTTCGGGTTTTTACAAATTATCTCATGTCCTAATCTTAGACAAAACTTTCTTTTAAATAGCCTAGCATACAATAATACAAATAGAACCTTCCTAAACAGCATAAACATGATTTAGGAAATCTTTCTAAATAATTAAAACCTTCCTAAACACAATAAACATAATTAAAAAACCTTCCTAAACAGCTCCCCTTGATTTCTCCTCCTTGCATAATGCACGACAGCTCTCCTGGGCCACATAGGGCTGGCCCAACTCCACCCTTAGCTCCCTTCCTGATTTCGCCTTGCCCCTCCTGCCGTAACACCATCCTATTCCCAACGCCTTCATATCTCATAGCCGACCAAGCTGATAGTCGTGTGTAGATGTCAGTTTGTTGATGCTCCCTCTTCAATAAGCTTTTGAGCATGCTTTGGCTCCATTCTGCAGTGTACCAACGAGTACATCAACGAAGTCTTCTAGCGCAATCTATCTCGTTTCAGTTTAATAATTATGATTCAGTATTGCACATCCGGTATAGCACATTTGTTACAAATGTTAATGTTTTGAGTGATGTTCTACTCCCGCACAATCAATTTTGCTTCAGCTTTTTCCCCAATTGTGCATTCAGTATTGCACATTCAATATTTGGTTTTGGGTACGATTGTTGGTATTTACAAATTACAATTGGCTTACCTTTACTCTGAATTTCTCTGCATCTCATCTCCCTTGATCTTCCTCTGCCTAAGCTTTGTGCATATCTTGCTTAAAAGTAAATTTAATTTTATTTATTTTGATAATAAATTCATTCTTGGGCAACTCTATTCAGACGGGACAGCCAACTTGATGAGGAAGGGTCTAAAATGCTTCAATTCAATTTAATAATTCTTCAATTATAAATTATATCATACAAGACTATATACTCTATATAAACTAAAAGATTTTAATATTTAGGTAAAATATTTGAAATTATTAAAGATAGACGTAATGTTTCCTTGTTAAATAACCATAAACGTGAAAAATATTTAAAATTATGCTTAAAACTATTTTGATATAGACACAAGAAGATGATCTGCTTAAAGAAGAATCAATGATTGTTAGGTTTTTGCATCAGTTCGCTCATGTTAAAAGGATATTTTTTTATCAAAGATGTTGAAGGTTATTGTTGTAGTGAAGTGATATTGTGTTGAGTTTGTGACTTAAAACTGAACTCAAAGTCAACTCAAAATTGAAATTATTGAGTTGAATCGACTCAAAATGATATGGTTTGAGTTGACTTGAATTTTTTTTAATTAAGAATGCGACAACATCAACAATATCAAGCCTTTATCCCACTGTGGGGTCGGGTATATGAATCTTTTTTTCCATTGTGGTTTGTTAATAGTCAAATTCTTATTTAAATTGAATAAATAAAAGTCATTTCTAATATTTTCTAACCAAGTCTTTTTAGGTCATGCACATAAATATAAATATAATATTTTGTATAAATGTTTATTTTGGGTTGACTCGATTTATATTTTGAACGATTTGGAGCAAAGTAATAATCAAATAGAAATTTAGTTGAATTCTGATGTCAATTTCAGTTCGAGTCAACTTTCAAATGATTTTCTTGGGAGTTTCTAATTTTTTTGGTTGTCTTGACTATAACTTTTGAAAGGAGGTGCTTTGGATTTTGATGTCACATACTGTTATGCCGCCGGCCCAGGAGGGGCCGGCTGGACCGGTCCTCTTTTACTCCCGTAGGCCCAAGCTGAGCGGAAATCAGGCAGAGTTGGGGGGGGGGGGGCAGCCTTTGTGAGGGCCAAGCAATGAATGTATTAAACTTTAGGAGGGAAAAATTGAATTAAGGGGTTGTTTAGGGATTTTTAATTATTCCTTTTGATTTAATTAGGAGAAAGGGTGTGAGTTAGGGTTTTATCTTGAGATTTGCTGAAATTTTGAGATCTACTCATGGATTGGGGCTCTAGGCTTTGCTAGAGAGTTTTCAAGAGTGGTTCTTCCTCTCAAATTGAAGAACATTGTAACTTACTTTGTTTTCTTGCATCTACTAGTAAAAATTTAAGTTTTCCCTCCCTAATTTCCACTGTTTTGGTGCAAAACCTGCTGTGTGGCTGCTGTATTACTGCTGGGACAGAAGTTTTTCTTCTGTTTTCGTACTAATCTTAACTAGGTTTGCTTGCGAACTCAAGTATTACCTTAGGGTTACTTGCGAACTCAAGTATTTCCTATCACATACATTATGCCACTATATATAATTAACAATCTAAACATGGTTTACTTGAAAGTATGCTGGTGATAACAATTGTAGAACAAATATATAATATGCAACTAGTGATGGAGCGAGTAACAATGTAGGAGATACTGGAGCAAACTATATCTCCATTTCAAGCTGTGGATGGATAACCATAGTGATTGAATCCACCTTAAATTTGAGCACAACAACATCCTATACGTCTAGCTTAAAGATGTGACAGAATTATAATAGAGTATGAGTAAAAAGCTAATTTAATATTTTTTGGTTCATGCTCAATTTTGGGGCATTGGCTCAATAAATAACTAGATGTAAGCCTGGGTAGTTGAATTAGTTTAACTTTAAGTACATAATCAAGCTCAAGTTCAAGTACATCTTCACACTCAAGGTCAGTTAATGAAGATAGATCATCATTCTTAACAATATGGGTTTGTGGGGCTTGTGAAGGAGGACAAAATGGGGCCATGTTGATAGAGTTTGTGATGCTAAAGAGGTTAATGGAGTTTTTGAAGAGAAATGGTAATTTTCTAAATTGTAACATCAAGCTGGTTCGTGTAAGTATTGAGCTTATCGACAAGAGTTGTTAATTGATTGAATATTTGCTAAAATATGGGATTTTACGGGTTCTAGTAAAAGATTTGATAAGTTATTAGGTTGTCATATGCGTGGGAGGATACGTAAACATTCACATGAGATGAAAAAAGATAAAATGGCTCTAGACTATTTTTATGTGATCATTTTAGTCCCAAACAATTTAACTTATATAATTTAGTTCCTTGACTCCTCAAATATAGTCCCAATTAGTCCTGCTAAAATTGCTATGTAGTTTGACAGAACTTGCACACTTAAATGTGGAGAGTCGACTATTGTGATGATTTTGCATTGGAGACCATATGAACATGTGCGCACGAACTTGAGTAAGCTAAAGAGAAGGTGATTGGTTCTAGAGGATGAAGGCATTGCTAGAAAATAACATTACCTAGTTGAGAGGATTTGATTGCCCATTGCCCAAGAATGCTAAGGGACTGAGGACTTTTTAGAGACCAGCAAAGAGCTGGCATCGTAAAGTATAGGAATTAACGTTAGATGTTGTTGTGAAATAAAATTTGAAAGAGATGCTCTCAATGATGCACAACTATGATTGGAAAAAGCATGGTCGATTCCTAATGAAGTGTGAGCATCTTCATGCCATAATCAAATGACAACAAGTTGGAAATGAGATTCGGGTTTGTTTAGAAGATTTTCAAGGATACGAAACGTATGCCAAACTAATGGAGTATGGGAAGGATGCAAATTTTCTTAGAGGGGGTATCTTTGACTATTAGTGTATTATTTATGTCATTATTAATAATGTTATATTAATTAGAATATGTTGGTCTAAAGATAATTTGTGATTTGATAAGAAACATCATCTCATGCTAATAATATTTTATATGAAGTATGTCATAGATTATCACGTGCTATAGCATTCAATCACAAGATCGCCATTTTTAGGGGGATTTACATATAAATGGTTTTATTATATTTGCATATTTAACACCCGAACTTTCATATCTATGCCATTGCCACCCATTTCTTTAAACTATTTCAAATATTTTGCATCGGGTTAATTACATCTAAGGTTCCAGGTATATTATGTTGGGTTATTTAATACTATTGGTTTAATAGGCCTCCTAATATTGAAAGGAGATTATATTAGGAATATATTATTATAATTGGTGCGTTATTCCTCGTTATCTGTTTTCTTAGCTATTGACCATCTTACAAAACAGTAAGACACAAGGTTAAGAGTTAATCTTATATAAGGTTCCAATTATATTTTTTTTGGGTTATGTATTACCATTGATTTACTAGGTATGTCTCCTAATATTTGAAGGGGATTATATTAGACGGATATTCTCCTAATTCAAGGCATTATTCCCAATTGTCTGTTTCCTTAGCTATTGGCCCTCTTACTAGTCAATAAAATGCATAAATTTAATCTCCTCTCAACATGTGGTATTAGAGTATAAAAATCCTAGTCACTCTTCTGATTGATACATACGACACTGCCTTCCTCACATGTTACCTTGCAAACTTGATCATATAAGCCATCGTACGACCCTAAACGTACTACCTGTCACACTTCCATTGCAGGTCCATTGTCTCGCTCACATATGAGATCTCCATCTGCTCCCATCTTGGTCATTGTCTTCGTCACTAAGGCTTCATTTGGGACAGCTTGTTTATTGCTTTCGAAAATAATTTTTTAGTACAAAATTTTCTGATTCAAAAAATTTTTGCACTAAAAAGTGGTTTTAGAAAGTATAAAAAAGCTGTCCCAAATGAAATCTAAGTGCCCAACTACTCCATGCCCCGGTTCCCTTCATCCTTGCTTCATAAGTATTGAGACTCCTTGCCCGCATCCATTGCTGCTCACTTGCGCCTTACCATTACTTGTGTACTACCCGGCTACTCGTCATCAACCTGCCTACTCACATGCCTCTCCACATACTCAATTGTTGATGCACATGCTTGCTTCCTCAGTAACACCATTGCTCACACTCTCCCATAACTAGATTGCTTCCTTCAGCGATTGTGCTTGAGGTTCTTGCATGTTGGCTTCACTCCTTCGCTACGTTTTTTATTTTTCTGTTTCAATTCAATGATTTAATATCTTTTCTTTATTGTCTCTATCCATATTTTATCATGGTCTCCTTGACTCCACATGATGAAAATGGGTACCTTATCATGTTTAATCGTATCAATTACCTCTCCTAGTCGATGGTTTCTCATTTTTTCATTAGTTCTCACCAAAAAACTCAACTTAAAAGTTCATTTTAGTCGTATATTTCATGAATAGAAACAGTTGAATGTATTCTATATATCAACTTATTTGTTAAATTTGTTCATTGATATAATAGGCTTAAAATCACGATATCTCATCATAAAATTCAAATATTCAATTGAGAAACTTTCTATCTTTTGATGAATTTTTAAAATGGAAAAAAATTGTGCGCGCCTTTAGATTCAATGATTTTGCAGTGGATAAACGGTTTTGATTTTACCTTTACTGGTCAAAACATAGAAGTTGTACTGGGAAGGGAGTGTGGTCGTTTTCCTCTGAAAAGTAGAAATATTCATCTTGCAAACTGTACTTAAAATATATTATCTTAATTTTTGTTTTCCTTGCTACTGTTATCTCTGATCTGAATGTTTATCTTCTAGAGTGTGCACAGTCTGTTGTTCCAGCATACATTCCCATCATAAATCGGCGGAAAGAAACGCCATTTACTGATCTACACAAGGCCTGGCAACAACTGCGTAGGGGAAGATATGTTGAATTCAACTTGGTAATTTCATTTAAAGCAAAATTAAAGAATTTTTTCATTTCTGCTACTTACGCTTCGTTTGGGACTGTTTTCTTTCTTTTTCTTAAAGCAGCTTCTATTATTAAATTAATTTTTTTTACTAAAAAACTGATTTAAGAAGCAGAAAGAAAGTCATCTCAAACGAAATCTTAATATCAATCTTGATCTTCTGATGAGCTTATTTTGTTGATTGTGAAGGTCTATGATCGTGGCACGACATTTGGGCTAAAGACCGGTGGTCGGATTGAGAGTATTCTTGTCTCGCTTCCCCTAACTGCTAGATGGGAGTACGATCATGTAAGATTTAAAAATTTAATTGTCATTTCTTTGCATGCCAGGAAAGATTTCTGAAAGTGTGCTTCATTCCACAGGAACCAGAGAAAGGTAGTGAAGAATGGAAGCTTCTAGATGCTTGCATCAATCCCAAGGACTGGATTTGAGACTAGTCGTCTGTAAGTTTTGTAGCTGAATGGTAAGTTTGGTTTTTGCATTTGTATCTTATAATACGTTAGTGCTCTTTGAGATCCATTCTTTTTTAAATGAAATAGAAAAGCCGTTCCTATTGAATATGAGTGAAGTTCTCTTGTCCTCTTCAGTATTCATGTATTTTATACAGAGGCTAGCCGGTCCGAAGATAATTATTTTCATCATACTAACAACCAGATTCTGTCGCAGCTAGATCGTTCTTCATGGCTGATTCAGCAAGGAGTCTAGTTAATTCAAGTCAATTATTGAAAATATAAGATATTGATGATTGATGCGGATTGGATAGGGTATTATAATTTTAATATCTTAAAAATAGTTTATTGGAATTGATAAGCAGAGTATAAAAAATAATTCAAAAATAATAAGTCATTTAATTAGGATTTATGATTAAAAAGATTACTATTAAGATGCAAACACAACTAATATTGCTTATATATATATATATATATATTTAAATCAATAAAAAAAGATTGGTACCTAAATTGACTGAAATTAGATTGAATGATTTTTATCCAATTCTTAAAACGACATCAAATCAATGCACATGGAGAAGCGGAAAACATCAATCTATCAATTGATGGGTCCACCAAACTCATCTCTTTTTGTTGAAACATTTGTGCTATTAAGATAAATTTACACTCACATAATATTTGGAAACAATTAATTCTAAATCTTTTAATTAGTAGCTAAAATTCTCAACCTCATGTCAAACTCATCCCATTGCATCCAATGCATCCGCGATCCTAAACCCAGCAAGTAAAATGAAACTTTTTTCTTCCTTTTTTTGTTTGAAAATTTAACTAAATTTCTTTCGTTGGCTTTTATTTTTATTTTATTTGATTTATTTTATTATTATTTATTATTTTGACAAAAGGCCACTGTCCAAACAACAACATGAAAAAAAAAACTATATTAAAAAGAAATAATGATGCATTCAGAATTGCTTCAGAATATCCATTCTTTCTTACGTTTTTCAATTCCACAATCAAATGGGAGAATATAAGAATATTCAAACAAACAACAATTCATTTCAAGGGTTTTCTAATAGAAAGCCTTGTGAATCCCAACAGGATAATAGTAATCTAAATTTTGCATTGTCTGATAGTGGAAATTATTCTGTGCGACTGTGCGGATGTCAAATACCGTCTGGAGACTAATTAAAATGCGCCACTTTATTTATTCACTCGGTACTATTCGGTACCGCTCAGTACTATTGCATGTTACCGCTAACATGCCTGCACTTGATTAGCCTCCAAACGGTGGAGTTGTGTCCGGCCTCCCCACATAATAATTTCTCTTTTGAAGACCTTATTAACCGCATCAAGGAAGTCTTTCTCAGTAATTGTCTTTCTTTGAGCTCGGGTGGCAAACATAGCTGCCTCAGTGGACCCACTACTGATATCTGCTCATGTTTACAGAGAAACCAAATCCATCAAAGTGAAACAATTCAAATAGCCCAAGCAAAATTTTTATATCTATAATGGTATTGATCCCATACATGCTTGGTTTGGAATATTATTTTTTTTTTTTTTTTGCTTTCTAAACTAGTTTTTTAGTACAAAATCTTTTTGAATTAAAAAGTTACTTTTAAAAATAACAAGAAACTGTCTTAAATGAAGCCTTAATGATATGACACAAATGGGGTACTTTGGAACAAGTACAATCTTGCATAAGATAAATAATACTGTATTTCTTAGGACTACCAGAGAATATTATCATGATATAGGCACAATTTGATGTAAAATATGAATTATCACGCATAACTTGACCACAAAACAAGTTTTGAAGGCCAGCAAACAAAATCAAACTAACAAAGCAGTGTAAAGTTGAAGGATCAATACAGCTAAAGGTAAGCCTATGGGCTCAACGCCAAAAACTATCCTAAAGAACATAAATCAGCAAAAATGTATTACTAGACCAAAAGAAACATGTATATTGACCGTTGGAGAAAATAATCAAGCTTGAATCTCATTATAGAAGAAAGTCCTACATGGGGTCCTGGTTGGGTACCCATTGGATACCTATGTTTTACTCGGATGAGCTTCGCCCACCCACACCCACCCATGGTGACTTTTGGGATGCCATACCCACCTATACCCGCCCATTTTTCATATTTTTTAAACGTAGTCTGCCACGGATTGATGGCCTTGAGGCTTGCTGCCCTTTGTTATGATTGCAAACTTTCGAAACACATATCATAATTTATCATAGTCGCAACATAGTTAAGTATTGTACACTGTGTAGTGATGATTGCAGTAATATAAGATATACAGTGATTAGCAATGTAAGTCGATTTATCCTCTGATGTTGAGTACCCACCCATAAGGCCATGGGAGTACCCATACTCACCCATAGCCATTGGGTATGGGTGGGTACATGGGTGGGTACATGGGTGGGTGTGGGTATGGGTACCCAATGCAGGGCTCTGTTATAGAAGTCAATGGAGAGATACCAAAGCCATCCATTACATAAACATCGTCACATATTATAAAGCCATTGAAGTGATACCTAAGTCCAGGGGCGGAACCTCCTTGACACCACAGGGGGCAATTGCCCCCCCCCCCAAAAAAAAATAATAATAATAATTATTATTATTAGATGATTATTGAGGTAATTTGTTCCCCTCAATCTAATTTTTAGTTCTTATTATAAGATTTTTTAGGCAACTAACCCCTAAAAGTTTTAAAATACTATGATATTTAAGGTTTTGCCCCTGCATAATTAAACACATTGTGTGGATGTGTTATTGTTATGGAACGATGAACCAAATACAAAGAGAAATAGTAAACCAAAATTTGCCTAAAAATTCCAAGCTTCACAAGTTTCTCTGGATGAAGCATAGGAAGCTCTACCACCAACAGAGGAAATCTTCGGAATATTATTAGTAAATAACAACACAGCTTACGTTTCACCTCTTGTATTTTAGAGTTATGCTTAGAAGATGGTGTATTTACGTCACTCACACTGAAAAAAGAAAAAAAACTTTAGGAAGCTAACAAAATGATAGTACATCAACTAAATAATAAGATTTTGCCAAAAAAATTTAAGAAAGGTAGAGTTAGGCCTTAAAAACTTAGGTTTCGTTTGAGATGACTTTCTTATTGTTTCTTAAAGCATTTTTTTTAGTAAAAAAATTAATTTTTGTACTAAAAAACGGCTTTAAGAAACAGTAAGAAAGTTGTCCCAAATGAACCCTTAGTTAGGAACTACTATAAATGACATTTCTTTATTAGTTTTAAATGAGAATTTGATCCTTAACAAGACACAATGGAGAAAGAGGATTCAGGAAATCCCACGTAGTGGGATAAATGTTTGTTTTTGTTGTATAATAGGGGCCTAAGTAGTATTCCTTGTAAAAAAGAAATGGACTCAAGAAATAGTAAAGTATATGGGCCCGTATGAAAGGATAAAACAATAGGACATGTGAGAAATGAAGATCCATTGACAACTTATTAAGTGATGAGAAAGAGAATTCTAGAGTGTTGGGAAAATTGAGGATGCTAAAAGCCAAGGGCACCGATGATGTTGTAAGCTTAAGATTTTGAAGGGTAAGGGGAAGTTACCTTGCTTATTATACCATGAAATGCTAAGTAGTGGGTTGAACAAGAAAGGGAAACTAACATATCTCAAATTTCATGCATAAGATGTGTCGAGCGATAGAGCGACTTTGACAAATATCTTCTCATTTTGAATAAGAAATAAAAAATATTAAGGGGTGATAGGTGGTATGGAGGACTCAAATATCCAATTGTAGAGTTTAATTGGCTGTCAGAATTCACACGAGAAGTTCTAAGAACATCAAATTAGTAGGATAGGATCCTTCCACCCACTGAGGAGCATAATGGATGACAATCATGTTACTCAACTGAAAGGACCAAATCATTGGGTCAAAAGATGAACTATTGGGTCAAAGGTGTCATGATTTGAGCAGATAAAATGTTGTATGATCAAATAATTTAACAAAGGGTTGACATATAATAAAATATGGTACCTACATGCTGATGAGCTATCATAATACAAATATATAGTGAAAGTGATGATCAATCATAAGTTTTTTGATAGGTAATGGGAACACGATATGTTAGGGGTGACATAATGAGATGGCGTGTTGATGTGTTCCCTTGTGCCCACAATTTGAGTATGGGTTGATAGGCCACTAAGTGGCCAATAGGGCAAAACAATCACTAACAATTTGGTTAAGCTCCATGAGCTACAAAGACTAACTGTTGATTGAATTTAGGCCATGGATCGCCGAGGAGGGATTGACACCTACAAAAATATTGGGTTTATATTTTAGAACAATAAATAAACATGGATCATCTTAATAACTTAGAAAGGATCAAACATAAGTAAAAATGAGGTCAATATAGCTAAGCTACATCATTGATCTAATAAACTTTAGATGCATAATTAGCACATCAAATCTTTAGTTCAAGACATCTAAAAGGCAAAGTTTGAATATCAAATCCTAGTTTCACAATCTTAAGGGAAAAACCATCAAGTTGATTTTGCTCACAAAACTATGAGTTGAGTTGCCTTATTCATTAACTCTAAAATCCGCGTAAATACATTAAATTTCAAGTTCAACAAGTCCATGGACCTAGCTCGAATACCAAATTCTAGTTCAACAAGCTTAGTAGATGGGAAAAATCTCCTATATCATAAAATTATGAGCTTGAAATTGAAGTTTAACCTCAGCAAAACTATGTCTCTAATTAGGGAAAAACTCCTAAGTCATTTTACTAATTAAATATGCTATAATAGTAAAGTTTGAACATAAATCTCAAACTTAGATTCATTATACAGATAGCCAAACATAAACTAATTCATTGAATTTATTTTGGAACTTTAAATATAAGAATCATAAAAGCGTTAGCTCAAAATTTTAATAAAATTAGTGCTACAAAGATGCCAAATACACTAAGGAACTAAAAAATAAAACTAAAATAGCTCAATAAAATATCATAAAAAATTATAATTAGAGCTTTATAACTTCCAAATGTTCTTTAAATGAGCAACTCCAAGACGTGTAAAAGAAATATAGAGGGCAGAGCATAAGGTCTCAAAATGAATAAATTGACCCTTAAATAGAGTTTATATCAAATATTTTAGATATTTTAGTATAAAAAAAAAACATATCTTAAATCACTTAATATCCATATTCATTTCGTTTCCGCCAAGTCTGAAACAGCTAACAAAAGAAAAAAAAAAGGGAAAAATAGAGGAGAGAGAGAGAGGGAGAAAACCCGGTTTTTGGTGATTTGAGCCCTTTTTTTTCCTAGTTCGTCTCGAGGTAGGTTACATTACGCCTATCTCAATTTTTTTTAAAATTATATAATTTTTTGATCAAATTTCAGTTTTTGTTAGCAAAAAAAGCAAATAACTTTGCACTAGTAAAAAATTTATCGTGTAACTTTTTGTATGTTATAAAGATTACAATTATATACATTTTAAATATTTTACATAAATTTTTTTTTTAAAAAAGTCTTATATAATTTTTCGATCAAATTTCAGTTTTTGTTAGCGAAAAAAGCAAATAACTTTGCACTAGTAAAAAATTTATCGTGTAACTTTTTGTATGTTATAAAGATTACAATTATATACATTTTAAATATTTTACATAAATTTTACAACGACGATTTTGAATTTTATTAAATTTGCATTAAATAAAAAATTATATGGATGCTGAAAAATAGTGTTGTAGTACGATAAAATTCTTAAAATATTATTTTACACTATCCCTGAAAATTTTGTTAGATTTCTAAAAAATATGTATTTTTGTCTAGAAGGTTTTTTATGTTGCCACCATTATAGAAAGCTGTGCAATTGTGACACATACTCAATTACTCTTTAACTAATATACTGTGATAATATATATGCATATACAATTAAATTATATATACTGGGAGATATAAGAGGTCAAAATTCTTTGAGATTTTATTTGTGTTGAGAACTATTCTAATGCCTATAAGTCATGTTCTGGTGGCTATAAGCCATATTATGGTGCCTGCATATATGCTCTGATATTATAAACACAAAATGGAGACATAAATGGCCAAAATTCTTTGATATTCTATTTGGATCCGGAGAATATGATACGAATTGTTTTATGATATATATTTTAATTTATTTATTTGCTTAATAATATTATTTAAATAATTGAATACCTAATATACTCTTATTATATTTCTCAATATATTGATTTATTATACTGTATTTAACTGCTTTTAAATATTTAACAAAATTTTTAATAAATGAATTTTAAAATTTATATCGTGTTGTGTGGCCTGCTGAGCTTTTGTAGCTCACTACGATTTTGCTTATGATTTTCAAGATATGGGAAGGGGAAGGAGACTGTTGATTAGCAACTTAAGATCCGATCTGTGTTTATATGTATTTTCCTATTTTAATTTTTATATAGTTATGATTAGTTTATTATTTAGTTATGTAGCTTCTGCATGTAGTCATGTACAGCAGTATAAATATATTTTGATGAAATAAAAGAAATATTGTAGATGAGTTTATTTTCAGTATTTGGATGTGTTATTAGCTCTATAGTATATAGTTATTTAAAATAAACATTAGAAGAGAATATGAATATTTCAAAATTAGATCTTGAGATTTGTTTGTCACAGTTCAACACGATAAGATCGGTCCTGATTGGGCTAGGTTGTGACATTGCATCAAATTATATATTCTATATTGCAATCAGGATAGTGGAAAATGTTATCATTGCCTGATAACAAACTAAAATATCTCTAATGGAGAAAATGACATAACCAATAACAACCCAAAAAATTTTTAGTCATAAATATTTTCACATAAACCCATCATATAAGCATGTGAGAGAAGAGAATAAACTAAGAAAAAGATTTGTGGCTGTAAAATTCTAATTATGAAGGCCTTCTAAGCAAAATATATGTTCATATGCTACTTACTAGTAGGTCTTAGCTCAAAATAGGCTTTTAAATGTAATATATTTAATTTATAATATATAATAGAAATATATGAATCCTAAATAGCTAGCAATCATCTTATTTGTATTCAAATTTTTCTTTAAAAAAATTACATAGTTGCCACTTGAATCATAGTTATTTTTAGTTTAGAATTTGATCAAAATGGAAAATAATGATTAAGATTTTATTATTAATTTTAAATATTGATGATAATTTAAAAAAAGATTTACATATATATCATTCTATATTATTCTATTCACATATCTAACATCTAAAATTTTAATATTATATACATATCATCTATAGTTCATTTTTATATCATATATATATATATGATATGTCATCAAGAAATTATCTTGATCGGGCAAGAATCTCGAGGCAAAATCAAGCTAGAAACTTCAAAAATTAATTCTGGGATTATATGAACTTCGATTTCAGCAAACTTACCGTCGAACTGATCGTCTCGGAAATACGAACCCAACGACACCAAAATCTACTCAATCTGAGCCCAAATGAGTCCAAATCAAGGACCCAAAGCAATATTGGAAGGTTCAAACCACAAATTAAGTTATCAAACGGTTTCCAAACATGACGTGTTTATAGTCAAATCGAGCGGCTCGACGAGACAAATCCAACGAGCCCAAGATCGGCAAATTCTGACATCATTAAGACCTTCAAATGTCTGATGAACGATCCACAATCAAGGGATTCAATATCAGCCGTCCATTCAAACCACTCCCGATTCACCCCTGATCTCTCACCTATTTACAGGTTATGCTACTCCAGAAATCTATAAATAGACCCCTCATTTCTCTTGTGAAGGGGGCGGAAGCAAGAGAAGAAGGGGAAGAGAAGAAGGACAGGAGGAAAGAACTCATCCTCGACCATCGCTACTGGAATTCTGTCCAAGTGACACCGAAATTCTGTCCGACCTCCAAGTGATGCCGAAATTCCGTCCGACTTCCACGGGACACCGAAATTCTGCTTGAATACCATCTAAATTAAGAATTCTCCTCGGCCTCCAAATGACGTCAGACTTCTACCCGACGCCGGACCTCCGCTCGTTTCCAAAATTCTACTTGACGCTGAACTTCTGCCAATTGTCGGACTTTCACCAGACATCTACCTTATGTTGGATTTCTGTCCATTGATGGTCTTCTACTAGACGCTGTCTTTCTGACCTCCGTCGTTAGACAACGATTCTTCCGACCTCCTTCGCTCATCGACTACGGTCCTTTCGACTTACATCGCACACCGACTACAGTCTTTACGACCTCCGTTGCCTTCCAACTACGGTCCTTCCGACTTACGTCGCACACTGACTACAATCCTTCAAACCAAACAAATACATCAACAATGATGCTTTATATTCTCACAATGTAATGTACTTTATAAGATGTACATCAAACTAAGGCCTTCCCCAATGAAGGACCTCATTTGTAATCAACTACAATACTAGTGGATTCATTTATACTGGGCCATGCCTCGTGGTTTTTCCCCCTATTCAGGGTTTTCCACGTAAAAAACTTAGTGTCTCATAAATATTTTATTTTTATATGAAATATAAGTGGTAGAAATGAAATATATAAGTGATAAGAATGAAATATGAGTGTAATATTTGATATTAAAATAATATAAAATGATATTTATGTAATATTAATTTTTTTTAAAATATTAAAATATTAAATATTAAATATATAAATAAAATGATATAGAATGATATTTATGCAAATCGCTCAAAATTAATTTTACAAATAACTAAAAATTGAGCGAAATACTTCCGACTCTCCGATATATATATATAGGTTGCCGCTCCTTTTTCCTTCGGGTAGGGAGAGCGAATGAGCCTCTTTCGAAAAGGACTCGCCGTGCTCATGAGAATTCCAATGAAGGCGGCAGCTACCAGTGGCCAGCAGCTCGCAACCACCCCTCCATTTACACCGGCAAATGTGAGCCATTTATTCCCCTATCCCTGATTTTAGGTATCCAGCTTCTTGTGTCCTCACCGGATTCGCTTCTCCCGACTGATCACAGGATGCCTCCTCGTCGGCCAACTTAGAGAGCCATACCTCGCGCAAGGTTGCATTGGCTGATGTGAAGGAGTGGATGCAAGCCTCTATCGCAATCCCATCTGATAAGATCGAGTTCGTGGACGCCAACCTTGAAGAATTTTCTAAGGTTTATCTTCTATTTATGAGAAACAAAAGGATAAACGGCTTGATCTATTTACTGAGGTATGGTTTTAAATGTAGGGTTACTTGAGCTTGCCGCAGGAAGGTCGACGGGAGCTGCTTCTTGTTCTGGCGAGAGACTACGATGTGAACCGGGCGAGAGTTCGTGAGCTGATGGCGCAGTATCTGAACTTAGGGTTTCCTCAGGAACCCGAGAGCAGTTGCGTTTTTTCTTTCTCCTTTTTTCTCCGGCTTTATTTCCTCGTGAATCCAGATGAATTATAAGTGAAATATTTAGAGCTTGTGCAGTTACTGAGGACGAACAATCGCGAGGTCAAATCCGAGATGAGGCATTTTTGGCTTCCTGTTATAGGACGGAGCGGAACCTTCGCATTGCTCTTAAGCCGATGTATGATATTTTCTTTGAGAGGCTGAATGCATATCCCGGTGGGTTAAAGATACTGGCTGTTCTTCGTGCTGACCTGTTATTAGTGATTGAGTAAGCTTTCTCATGTTGTGCTTGACTTAGAGGAGAATCTATCGATTGGATACTTTCATATGAAATTGGCATTGCATCTAAATCAGATAATCTTCTTATCATGTTTATTTAACCAAAGGATATATCTTTTTTTTTTTTCCATCTAACCGAAAGGATATATGACTTTAGAAAATGGAAGTTTGTTCAGGTTTGGTAGGCCATAACCATTAGTAGTCTTATCCCAGCAATATAAGTATGTCGTGGAACAGTATTTTGGTTGACTTCATTATGACTGAAAGGTCACGGTTTCAAATGTAGGGTAATGTAGCTTAAACTTTCCCAAACCTTGCATCAATGGGAGTTTCATTGTACCATGCACGGTCTTTTTTTTTTTTTTCCCCCGAATCAGAGAATTACCTGGGAATTGCTTGTGAGTAGGCCAATCCTATGGCTTGGTAATTTAGATGCTTATTCTTGACAAGGAATACACCCTTTTTTAAAGGTTTTATAGGGTATTATGTAAATGTGTTTCCTGATTGCTTATGCATATTTCTTATGATGTAAGTACTTTTTATTCAGGAAAGAAAAGCTGCCATCATTGCGAGCTTTAGACTTATATTTGAAAGAAAGACTCATAACTTGGCTGAGCCCCGCAGCTTTGCACCTTCATCAGATTACATGGGATGATCCTGCATCCTTATTAGAGAAGATTGTAGCATATGAGGTTGGGTCATCACTGAATAATTAGTTTAAGCTTTTGACAATCAGCGGTTTCCAATTATAAACTTGGTTTAATTGATTGCATTCATAGGCTGTGCATCCCATTAGAAGCCTGCAAGATTTGAGAAGACGGTTGAGTACTGGTCGCCGTTGCTTCGGATACTTTCATTCAGCAATACCAGGTTAGCTGATGACCCAAGCTGATAAGCATGCTAATTGATCACCTGTGTATGCAGAAAAAAAGCATGCTGTTCTCTTCTGTCCATATCTATGTAGTATAAACATATCAATTTCTTTTATGTAATTTTTCATTCAGCAATACCATGTTGCTAATGTTGCTGTAACATATGCACAAATATATATATTTTCATTAGGTGAGCCGCTTATTTTTATTGAAGTTGCTCTTTTAAAGGAAGTTGCGAAGGCCATTCAGGTTACTTTAACAACCTCAAATTTGCATTTTTCAAGTGTTAAGCACCAATTGTTCAGAATGGTCATTTTTTATCTTGTTGGTTGACACTAGGAGGTCTTGTGGGATGATCCCCCATTTCTTGAGAATGAAGCAACTTGTGCGTTATTTTACTCTATATCATCGAGTCAGGTAAGTAATGATTTAGCTGGAAGATGATCTGTATACTAATTATTTATTTATTTTTTTCTTTTTGAGAACCACAAATATAAATTTCTAAATGGGATTCTCATAAGTGGCATAAGCTGTTGCTCAGGTGGCAATCACTTATAAGAAATTTTAACTATCAAGAACATAATGAGATTTGAGGTTTTTATTAAGGTAATTGTTTGGCTTATGATCTAATATGTATGTATTATTGAGTTTAGGCCAAACATAGAATCAAGTTGTTAAACCTTTATAAGTTTAAATTGTTATGTTATCATAAAGAAACATGTGGACTATTAGTTTGTGTGTTTGTGAAAGGTACTTTAATATGCATATAGAAGGTTTTCATGCTACTGGATTCCTTGTTGACATGCTTGGGAAGCATTCTTTTTATTAAAGAATATGTTTCTGAGGTAATGAAAAGACTAAATAAAAAAGAAAACCTCAAAGTTTAAAAACAGTGCTTATCATGCAAAAAAAAAAAAAAAAAAAGGAAGCAAAAAGAAAAAAAGAATATGTGCCTATGTCTAGTAACCAGACCTGCCAAATAAGCAATTATAACGTCAAGTTAAGTCAGTTATCAAAATAGAGTTCTTAGAATTACTTGTTATCTGTTTACTAAACAAAAGTGCTTTTTGTATCATGCGCATCTGCATTAGCAGCAGTAGTTACTCTATCATTGTTCTATGTTGTGATCCTTTTTTAAGTGTGATAGTGAAATCATGAGCAAAAGCTCAAGAAAAATCCTTTTTTCCCTTAATTTTCAGAACACATCTAATCCCATGCCTATCTCAATCATAAAACAGATCGTTGAACTTGTTTCAGTTTTTTTGGTACTGCACATAATGAAATTTAAGTAGCTAAATCAAACTGCCATGATTAAGGGTGGCATACATCATTATCATTGAATGACTTTTTTTATATTCAATGATAAAAAATGTCTTGCTCGAGTGTATCGGTTAGAGCTTCACATATTGAGTGTGCTCTTTTAATTCTGACCTCAAAATCTTTAAATGTCCCATCTCAGCAATACTATGTTATGAAGAGTCTTGCTGTCTTCTATCCTTAATACCAACCATTTTAGTGTTTTGTCCTGTTGTTCTTTCGGAAAGATAAATGATGTGCAGGATAGCATACTTCTGTGGACTGGCGGCACATTACACACTCCCTAACAAACTGCAGCAGTATCCACTACCTCTACTTTCTGTTTTTAGTATTGGCACAATTAGTTGCAGCCTTTTCTTATTTGCATTAATATAGTAATAGTAGAAGTGCTAAAGTTACATATAGGAAAGGAGAAAAGAGAGAACAACTTTTGATCTTCATTTTTACAATAGTAATACAAACGAGAATACAGAGGTATTCTTCTCCCTTTCTCTGTTTGCTTGTTTGCTGTCACTTGTTCATTGCTTTTCCAGGTACCTCGATCCTGCAGAAGGACATCAATAAATCTTTGCTCCTATTTATTGAACTTTTAGTTTGCAATAATACAAAATAGGCTAGGCAGTTCTTGTTTTTACTCCTATTCTTTTTAATCTGTTTTACAAATCGTGAAATTCGATACTATCATCTATTGATTTGAAGTTTTGTATGACATCAAGAAAGATTTGACACCATAAAAGAGGAAAAAATTTGTCATTAGAATATTTTCATCCCAAGTCATATTTATGTCATTTCCAGTCTTTACGATTCTTTTGAGCTATTGGTTGCAAGAATGGTGCTAAAAGATTCGAGTAAGGCTGGCCAAAGGCTATCAATAAGTAGAGGGATGACAGGGGACTGGTTATCTCAAATTAGTTATACTGTCAAAAAGAATCATTACATCGATGCTAACATATATGAACAATGCATTTAGATACCCTGCATTGGTTTTTTAATGTTGTGAGTTAAAAAAGGTTCAAATCTCTATTGTTTTTGAATAAAGTCTCGAAGTATCTTCTAAATTGGTCAAAAAAATTGAAGTTTAGTGCCCTCCAAAGAAGATGCATATTGTTAGTATTAAGCCCATACGAGGTATCCATTGAGTCCGAAAGAGTGATGGGAGATGTTGAAGTAGTTTGACTCATAAATCTTTTTAATGGAATATTTAAGACTGCTAGGATATCAAAAGATTTCAGAATCATCATTCTTGGTATTAGCATTTATGGACAAAGAAGATGCTTATATTTGTTGTTATAGAGGAATTAAACTAATGACTTATGAATTGCACAATGAAGTTATGGACGAGGATAATGTAATATGTTTTTTGAAAAATCATGTTGATTTTAGAGATTCAACTTGTTTTTGTGCTACAAAGATTCACCATGGAGGTTTTTCTTTTGCGCTTAGGTAATTAATATAAAAGTATAGAGAAAAAATAGATCTTCATATGGCATTTGTTGATTAGGAGAAGGCATGATTTAGAGCCTTGAGAATTTATTTGGTGCACGTACGGAAAAAGGTGTGTTAGAGCTATTTTTGGAGTTATTTAATATATGTTTAAAGTTTTGTTAGGTAAAACTTGCAGCTATGTAGAGTAACCAAAGAGTTTTCAATCAAAGTTGATTACATCAAGGATTAACGCTAAGTCTAAATTTTGTTTATATTTGTTTTAAAGATGCTTAGAAATGATATATTTAAATTATGTTACCTTGATATATGTTATTTGCCTGTTTGGTGATGCCATCGTTTTGAAACATCTGATGATGTAATTGGAAAGTTATAGTCATGGGGAAATTGTGTAGAATTAAATGGCTTAAGATCAGTAGAACAAGGTCAAGTGTATGGTATACAATTTAATTAGATGGATGTTGGTAATGATAAGTAAACATTATTAAAGATCAATTGAATTTTATGTGCTATTACTTTCCTGATTCTATTACATAATATAAATAATAATAGAGATATAAATGAGCATAAGACTTTAAAGTTAAGACTAAGAAGTTAAAATTTTGATAAATGCCTCAGGAATATAATCTAATTAGCGAATATCATGGAGACATAAACAAAAGCAGTCCAACTATGTTAGATGTATCTAAATGCTTGGCAAAGAAAACGCATTAATAGTCCAATTGATTGTAGTAAAATGAGAATGTAAAGATGTTTATGCGATCAAGCTAGAAATAATGGGCTGAGAATTGATTATATTTGAGAAATGACAAGGCTAGAATCAAATAATGTTAAATTAATGAAAATAGATCTATGTGGTTTGGACATGTATGACAAATGCTAGAAAATCTACCAATTGATGAGCATATAAAATCAGATTGGAAGAATTTTAAAGGAAAATGGATAGAGTAAACATAATATGGATAAAAGTTGTGCAAAAGGAGTTATGTAAAATAAATTTAACACCTTATGAAACACTCAACATGAATGAATAAGAAATAAGAATTCATAAAAGAAACCCTACATAGTTGGGAGAAGATTATTAATGATGACTATGATGTTAATGATGGCTAAGATGTGATGGGAGGCTGTCATTTCAACTTTCCAAGTATCCTATTCAGCTTTTTAGTTGATGAGAGATTTCTCTCCCTTTTGACCATAAGGATTACAATTTTGGAAACACGCTTTGTGTAATAGTGAAGTAAGGCTGCATAAATTAGCCTTAAGTTCACATAGGAGCCCCAAGCACTAGGTACACCTTTTAATTATTTTTGCTGGTTTTAATGTTTTTTTCTTCTTCTAATCATTCTTGTTAAGTGCTTCTTGTGAGTGCGGATCATGTTTATAAACTTTATTTTACTGACCTTTCTCTGATTTTCTAATTTTTTTGTCAACTAATTTGACTTTTCATGAAGGGAACAATCTGAACCAACAAGATTTTAACAACTGTAAATACCGCACTTTAGAATAATTTATTTATATAGTAACGTAAATGCAAGTTAAAAAAAAAGTTTAAACTTCTAGTCTTTGTTCCCCTTTGACCGTAGAAAATGTTAGGAGCCTTATGACCATTTCTATCTATTAACATGGACGCATAAACTGACAGATTAGATTATCAAAATAAAAATATTAAAATGCACAAAACAAAATATTGAGATTAGGTTCTGATTAAAAAAAAAAAGACAACTAAACATTGTCATTCCTTTTAAAGCAACAAATCATGATATGATGCCATTAAATTGACGTAATTAATATTAAATATTTATCTATGTATAACTGATGCAGGACTAAAAGTGAAATGCTATTAGTTCATTTGGATTTTGCACAACTCGTGATTAGAATAATCATAGAACAAAACTACTAGCAATTTGAAACAATGAATCAAAACAAATAGGGGTCACACCCGCTTAGGCCAAATTACGTAGCAAGAGATTTGAAGCCTTCAAAAATAAATTAAGAAAACAACACAATGAAAAATAGTAGTTTCAAAGAAATCCCTAGTCTAACAACAAGAATTAATAAGCATAAAGGCACTTTCAAAACTCCACGTTTACTAAGCTTAGCAGTAGCGGAGAGAGTCGTCCTTTGTGACTACAATCAAGCACAAGATCCAGTTAGACTAAGAAAATAATGAAAAGAAGAAAGGAGAACCTCTCGTCAAGGGGTAGTGGAGATCCTCCACTCGATGCCTTCGAAGTGCTCGTTAATGGCTTCTACTAAAGTGTCCAAAACGCGCTCCACATAGTCCTCAACGGTATGATCAATCCTTGGGTTCACGTCGAAGAAAGTTGATCGTAGGATATCGGTGAAACCGTCCTCGTCCCAAGTTAAGCCGTATTCAGTAGCTGGATCCGCCATTCATGGGGGCTTGGGAATAACTCTCCTTCCGTCTTGCTAATGTTCTTGAATGTCGTCGAAGAGAAAGAAGTTTCTCTTGCACGTGGAGAGGAAATAATCCTCAGGCTCCCTTCCAAAAATCTGAAAACAGTTTCAGATTTTGAGCCAAAATCTGAGAGGGATTTCAGATTTTCTAAGTGTAGTAGGTAGGGAAATTGGAGGGAGAACTTTAGCCTCAATTCAAGTAAGGTATTAAAGAGGGAGAGAGGGGATTGGAGAGAGAGAGAGAGAGGGGGCGGGTAGGAGAGATGGGCCGGCGGTTTGTAGAGGAGGTGGGGATTTAATTTGTTTCCCAAAAGAGAGGTCCACTTATGGGAAGAAATTAAATAGAAGGGGGAAGGGGAAATTCGACCAAGAGAGAATTGGGGGAGATTAGAATTATTGCCTAAAGCAAGGAGGGTCTTTAGGAAATATTTCCTAATCCAAGCCAGAGGGGCCGGTGGCATTAAGGAGAAGGGGAGGGATTTGTGGAGAGCAATTAATGTTACTTGATTTGGTTTTGAATATTAGGAAAGGGCTTTTAAAATCCTATTTGAATTTTAAATTCAAATAAGTTTTAATTAGAAAACTTTCCAAAAATAGAATTCATAAATTAGGAAATAATTTAAATTCAAATTAATTTGGATTTGAACTAAAGGAGTTTCCTAATTTAGGAGCATCCCAAATGGCAAGTGTCATCACAAGCAATGAAGGGGGAACACAAGGGAGGGGATGGAAGGGGTTGGCCGGCGGCTAGGGGAATTGGGGCCGGCAGCCTAGGGGCTCGGGTAGGGGATGGGGCCGAGGGTTTTGAGGGGGGGATGAAGGCTCGGGTGTCGAGAAAGGGTGGCCGGTGGTGGTGGGAAGGGGAAGGGAGGAGAAAGGGAAGGAGAACCAAGAGCCACCGGTGGTAACTGTTGGGTACGACTGGTGGCCTATCCTAGGCTCTACCAAGCTCTCTAACTCTCTCTCTGAAGCTCTCTCTTAAGCTTCAAGAACAAGTGCAAGAAAATTCTCATAATCATTCATTAACTTCAAAACACAAGGCATGAGGATATAAATAGCCAAGTGCACGGACTCAAGAAAAGAAAAGACAATCTTGCCTTAGGGCTTACATACGACATTCCCCACTATAAGAGTACAACTGGAAAAATAATAAAAACAAATATATAACACATGCAAATAGAAAAATACATGAATAACATAAATACTCAGAAATATAAGGACTCGATCGTGGCCGTAGATCAGCGGCCACGCCTCTGATAAACCTTCCATGAGCTGATGTCCCCATCAATAGGGAGACATCAATAGAGAGTACATTATAACCATTGATTATTTTTTATTTGTTTATGATATTTTTTAATAGGGAGATTTGCATACTTACCACTTTATATTATTCTATTTATGTATTTAACACCTAAAACTTTAATATTACATACATATCACCCATAGTTCATTTTCATATCAAATATAAGTGGTAGAAATAAAAAATATGAGTGGTAGGAAGGAAATATGAGTGACATATTTAATATTAAAATAACATAGGGTGATATGTATGTAATATTAAAGTTTTGGGTATTAGATATGTAAATATGATGGTATAAAGTGGTATGTATGTAAATTTTCCTTTTTAGTATTAAGTGGCCCAAAGTCTTAGTAATTGTAACAAAAATAGAAAAAATGATATTGTGGTTTAGTCTAATAAAAATAGCATATACATTACTAACAGTTTTATTACAATAATTTGACATGTTATATGATATAAATATTCATATGCGTGCTGTTTTTTGTTGTTTAACTTTTAATTATTTAAATGACGGGGGATAACTCCTATCTCTAAAATTTATAGTACGCATTGGTTGAGCTTTCATATTCCTAAATTAGAAAAACTTTTAATAGTATCCTAGAATTAAGGAAGGACAAAAACCAATTTAGATACTCATTGGGAATACAAATGAATGGGCTGCTCTAATCCAGATGAAGTTGTCAATCTTGGCAAAATTCTAAAGCTTGCAAACTTGGATGAGGTTCGCCTTCGCCCAGGCCTCCAGCAAATATTTTATAAATGGTCAGGTAGGCATTTTTTTATTATTATAGTTTCCAGGTAGCGCCGTACTGGGCACTTGCTAAGAAGTTATGGCTCTTACCTTTAGTGATTATTGGCTTCCAGATATGAAGCATGAGTTATCGACCTTATATTATCAGATTGTTGTAGAAACCTTGAAATTCCGCTTTGTACAGTAGTTGTAGCTTAATGCTGAAACAGAATGGCATGTTTAAGAAATTGATTGTTGTTTTAACTCTTAACTAAAACAGTTGTTGAACTTGACATGAACTTGGAAACTTTGAGTTGGCACCCCTAGCCAAAGGGTTCAAGAAAGGTCAATCTGGCATGGCCAATTGTCAAAGCTAAACCGGACTGCCAAGCAGTCAACACATAGTATATGATGAGATGGATGATATGATGTTTAATAGGTGATTATCTATTTATCCTTAACGAGGATGTGATAATGTTCACTATGGAGAAAGAAAGAAAATTGCATTTTGATTTAAACTTTGAGATGTTGCTGCAATCCCCCACATTCTGTGTTATTTTTGAATGTTTCATAGAATATCTAACATTTAATAAGATCCTAAAGGCAGCCATAATAACAATTATATGAATCTAGCACACCTTCCAACACTCTTATGGTTACTACTTTTGTGTGGTATTCCAGCTATAAATTTGAAAATTTGCTGCATGCGCCATTCTTCCCTTTTTAGAGTTTTCAGCCATCTTTTCTTCAAACATTAGCTATGCTCATGTTGTTGGAAAATATGATTTGAGAATGTGTCTTCCATTTTTGGGTAACCTCTGTAAATTTTTTGTGAAGTAATTAGCATCTCTTATAATTATCTACTTTTGGGCAGTTTTCTATGGTTGAAACTGATACGAAATACTTGATTTCAAGTATTTCCTAACTACTTTAGAAGCAATAATCAATGACAACCTGCTGTCCACAGAAGAAATCAGCCCCAAAACAGTGGAAAAATAGCAAATCGGAGAGAAAACAGTGGAGAAAAGACTTGTATTTTACTAATAGATGCAACAGAATAGAAAAGATACAATTGATCCTCAATTCGAGAGGAGGATCGATCTCTCCCAAATCTCTAGACGTCGCTAGAGCCCAAAGAAAACCTAAATCTAAGAGATCTCAAAGTTCAGCCCAAATTCAAGATGATCAAACCCTAGGAAAATCTACTATTTAATGCATACAAATCAAAAGGAAATCCCTAAACAGTCCATACATTCAAATTTCCCTCGCAAAACCGGCAAAAACGCTTCCTAAAATGCTCTTCTTGAGAGGACGGCCCCCCCGATCTCCGCCTCCTGCGGAGATTTCGCATATTACGCGAACTGCCAGCCCCGTGCGAACCGGCTGGGCCGGTCCAGTGGACCGGTCTAACAATACTCCCCTCCCAAAGATTCACCTTGTCGTCAAGGTGGAAATATGCTCGTATTCCCGCGGAGGTGGCCATCCTTCTAATGCAGTGTTAAGCCAACGTACATCAACTTTTTCCTCTCCCTAGATTCGGCTTGTTTGTTGTTTCATTAGTTGCACGCACTTCTTATCATTTCTTTTACAATTTTTATATTGGCTATACTGGCTATAAACATTATCTGTATTTTGTTTAGATGGAGCATATTTTTCGATGTAATACATCTGTATCTTATTTTAAATAATTTACAATCATTGTGACATTTTTTGATTAAATATCTTATTTTTCCTCTGTGAATATTAGTGAATCTAATATCTTTATCCAAATTTTAATGTCACATCGATTAAAAGTTTCATATTTTATTGTCTCATGTATTATATTAAATTTAAGTTCATGCCAACAATACTTCCTTTGATATTCTTTGTAACGTTGCAGTTAATTTGTTTGTCATACGTATCTGTAATTTGTGGGTTTCTACTGACAGCCGGGCTTATCAGGGATCAACCTCGGAAAGTTTCTAATAAAACGTGTGATTGAGCTAGTTAGAAGGGATATGCCACATATCACGGTGTGTTTATGCACTTCTTGTTTATTGTCTTAATGATAGCTAATATTTTTATTTTCCAGAATATCATATTCTATTCTCTGCATCTTTGTGTGTCATGATGCTTGTGACATTAATGATTAAGAGAGTTGCAATTGGCCAAAGATGTTGCCAAGAAATGTTATGAACATATTAACTGGCTGGATGACACAAGTTGAAACACTGTTTCTGGTTAGCACAATGCTTTGATATTCATAGTTTGACATGATAGTGGGGAGGGAAACTTAAAACATTTTTTGAAGTTGCTGGTGAAAGATGCTTGTTCCTTTTATACTTCGGCTTCTTAAGCCAAGGTTAGAGGCGAGATTGGGCAGGTCAGCCTGGAGACACAAAGGTAATTTTATATTAAATTTATGTGGGCTCCAAAAATTCACCCCTCAACTTTTTGCTGGGAGAGTTTATGTGGTTCTGGGTCAAACTATTGGAATGATATTAGGTTGAAGGTAACACACTACCTGGATATTTCATCTTAATTTTACAAGATTTTATGATGTAGTTTCAAATTTCCTATAGATGCAAGTCACTATGGTTAATTACCCTTTTCAATAACAAGGAAAAACTTTATATTAAAGTTAGTTATCAGATAAGAATTAAGTGCTTAACATATAATAACAGCAAATTTAATATAGGGACCCAATCAAATGATTATTGTCAGCAACTATGAGTTGTTTAATCTAAGAGAAATTTGTAGACTTGGGGTGGATGTTTGTCTAAGAGGACAAATTCAAGCCGACTTTAGTTAATCTAGGGCTTTGTACACTATTAAGTGCACCATATGATTCATAACTTAAGGATTTTTTAGCCATTAGAGAACTTGAGGGCTTTAGTGCTTTTATTAGAAGAGATATTCAACATAAGTGGATGAGATATTTCGATAAGCTTTTCAATGAAGATTGCGAGAATACGATTTACTTTAGTGATCATAGCAACCTAAATGAAAATAGAGATTTTTGTTTTTATCGGCGTATTAGTAAAAGCAAAGTTAGAGTGGCTTTAAAGAAAACGAAGTGTGGAAAACTGTTGGATCCGATGATATTTCAATAGAGGTGTGAAAATGCTTATGAGATGAAAGAATTTCTTGGCTTACGAAACTTTTTAATATTATTTTGAGGACTAAAAATATGCTAGATGAGTGAAGAATTAGTGTGTTGGTTCATATTTTTAAGAATAAAGTTCATGCATGTGAGTGTGCAAATTATAAAAGGATAAGTTAATTTGTCATATATTAGAATTATGAGAGAGAGAGAGTAATTGAGCATAGCTTATGATGTGATACTAATATTTCTCAATATCAATTTGGATTTATGCCAGATAGGTCTACTATGGAAGCTATACATTTATTAAGAGGTTTGATGGAGAAGTATAGAGAAAATAAGGAGGATTTACATATAATATTTATTGATTTAGAGAAAACATATGATAAAAGTGGAGGGTTGTGTTAGTTAGTCGACATCCAACATAAAACTTGTTGAATAATCATGACATGAATCCTTTAATACATTGTGTTAATGCTAGGACGTTCCTTGGAAGCGATGCACTGCATGGCCTGAATACACAAACAAGTGTGCAAGGGTCGTTGCACTAGCGTCTGGGTGTAGTGTTAAATAGACAAGTATTCCCACATCATGGATGGATGTGGGTAAAGAAGCTAGTCCATGAAACTAAAATTAGGATACGAACTTGAAATATATGTACCATTACATGTAAATTAATGGAATTAATAGATATTAGGATTCTGATATGAAATACTTGAGTTCGCAAGTAACCCCAAGGGAATACTTGAGTTCGCAAGCAAACCTATCACTAATTGGAGACAAAACAGCGGGAATTCAACCAAAATCTGGGTGAAATCAGCCCCAAATCACTAAATTGCAATAAGGGAAACAAAGCAAAAGCAATACGAAATCAAGATACAAGTGATCCTCAATTCGAGAGGAGGACCGTCTCTACCAAATCTCTAGACGAGAGAGTCTAGAGCCCAAAACACCCAAGAAACTCCAAGAAGAAAATAATACTTGCATGCCCCTCCCTTCCTCTTACCTCTCCTATTTAAAGACTTTTTCCACCTCCTCAAATCTTTCCTAAAAATATTTTTCAAATAAATTCAAATCCCGTGGACCCCACCCCTAGGCGGTAATTTAATTTGGGCAAGAAAGGAGGCGAGATTGCCTCCTTTGATATACCCTGGCCGGCCCTTCCTTCTTGGGTTGAGGCGGTTCAGGAGGAACCGCCTCAAGAGGCGGTTCAGGAAGAACCGCCGTAACAATACCGCCCTCCAAAAGAGTCACCTTGTCCTCAAGGTGAAAACTAGGAAACTGTTGCTTCACCCTTTCATACGGCTCCCATGTGGCATCGTAGTCTGGAAGATTCTTCCACTTGATCAGTACTTCTTTTTCACCTTCTCCTTTCTGACGAACCCCCATCAATTCTAAGGGTTCCATAATCACCTCTAAATCTTCTGTGAGTGTGACTGATAACTCTAAACTGGTTGTATAATCTTCAATAGCTCTTCTCAGCTGTGACACATGAAAAATGGGATGAATAGTTGCTGTGAGTGGTAGTTTTAGCCGATATGCTACTGCTCCAATTTTCTCCAATATTTCATAAGGTCCAAAGTATCTTGGAGCGAGCTTTTCATTTCTTCTGTTGGCCACCGTCTTCTTCCGGTATGGTCGGAGTTTTAAGAACACCTTCTCTCCTGCTTCGAACTGGATGTCCTTCCTATGTCCATCAGCATGTTTCTTCATAATCTGTTGAGCTCTCAGTAGATGTTTCTTTAATTCCTCTAATACTCGATCCCTTTCTTCTAAATACTCCTCTACGGAAGAGACTGGAGTACTGCTACTCCCAAAGTTTACTAAGTGAGGGGGGTCCCTTCCGTACAACACATTGAATGGAGTCATTTGTGAAGCTGAGTGAAAAGAGGTGTTGTACCAATACTCTGCCCATGACAGCCATTTGGCCCAAAGTTTGGGTGTCTCCGACACAAAACATCTCAAATAGGTCTCCAAGCTCCTATTGACCAACTCTGTCTGACCATCTGTCTGTGGGTGGTAAGCAGTGCTCCTTTTTAGAAATGTCCCCTGTAGCCTGAACAATTCTTTCCAAAAATGACTGAGGAATACCTTATCTCTGTCTGTCACAATTGCCTCTGGTATGCCATGTAATCTGACCACCTCTCTAATAAAGGCTGAAGCCACTGTCACCGCGGTGTAAGGATGTCGGAGGGGAATGAAATGAGCATACTTGCTCAATCTATCCACCACTACCAAGATTACTGTGAAGCCTTCTGAACGAGGCAGCCCATCTATGAAAATCCATGGATATCTCCTCCCAGACTCGTCCTGGTAGTGCCAATGGCTGTAGTAGTCCTCCTGGTGACATTGACAAATACTTGTTCCTTTGACAGATTTCACACCTTGCCACCATCTCTTCTACATCTCTACGCATCCCCTTCCAGTAAAGCTCGGCCGCCAATCTTTTATAGGTCTTCTGCACTCCTGAATAGCCCCCCCACTGCGCTCCCATGAAATTCCTGGAGTAGATTTGGGATGTGGATCGAGGTCTGAGGCATCACAAATCTTCCCTGATATAGTAGTCTGTCCCCCTCTAATGAGTACTCTGGATGGCTTCCCTCCTCTTTTAGCAAAGCTGCCTTGATTTTTTCCAGTTCTTCATCTCTAGCACTTTCTTCTCTGATAGCCTCCCAATCAAGCATTAAAGGAACGGAAAGTGCCACTGTCTGCAGCTCCCCCATACATCTGGACAAGGCATCTGCCGCCTTATTCTCCACTCCTGGTCTATACTGAATTTCAAAATCATACCCCAGCAGCTTGGATAACCACCTTTGATGCTCTTCCGTCACCATTCGTTGTTCCAGTAGGTATTTTAAACTCCGTTGATCTGTCCTAACAATAAAATGTCTCCCAAGTAAGGTCGCCACTTTTGGATGGCCAGAACGATGACCATTAATTCTCTCTCATAGATTGGATTCAACCTGGCTCTAGCAGTCAAAACCTGGCTGAAATAGGCAATGGGCCTACGATTCTGCATAAGCACTGCACCAAGCCCGTATCCTGACGCATCTGTCTCCACAAAGAAGGTCTGAGTGAAATCTGGCAAGGCTAGGACCGGGACCGTCGTCATCGCCTTCTTCAGGCTCTCAAATGCTGCTGTAGCTGCCTCCCCCCATAGGAACCCATCATTCTTCAACTGCTTAGTGAGTGGCCATGCTATATTGCTGTACCCCTTTACGAACCTTCTGTAGTAACCCGTCAGCCATAAAAATCCCCCCATCTCCTTCAGATTCTTCGGCACCGGCCACTTTAGCATTGCCTCAATTTTGGACTGATATGCTGCCACCCCCTCTTTTGATAAAACATGGCCCAAGTACTCCACGTTGGCTTGTGCGAAGCAGCATTTCTTCAAGTTGGCCCTCAATTGGTGCTCCTGCAGTACCTCTATCACCCTTTTCAGATGCCCCCAATGCTCCTCCTCTGTCCTGCTGTAGACCAGGATGTCGTCAAAAAATACCAGTACAAACTGTCTGAGATAAGGTTTGAAAACCTTATTCATAAGGGCCTGAAAAGTAGCGGGGGCGTTGGTGAGGCCAAAAGGCATGACTAAGAACTCATAATGTCCCTCATGAGTTCTAAATGCCGTCTTGGGTACATCCTCCTTCTTCATCCGAATCTGATGGTAACCTGATTTCAAGTCTATCTTACTGAAGATCACTGTGCCACTTAATTCATCTAGCAACTCGTCAATAACTGGGATCGGAAACTTATCAGGTACAGTTTCCTTGTTGAGCGCTCGGTAGTCCACGTAGAAACACCAACTGCCATCCTTCTTCTTTACCAATAGAACTGGACTAGAGAAGGGGCTGATGCTGGGTCTGATGATTTCTGCCTCTAACATCTCTCTGATCAACCTTTCTATTTCATCCTTCTGGAACTGAGGCTAGC